ATCAAAAAGAGTAAAAGCTTTTAGTTGCGGAAAGTTCGATTCATGCATTGAGAAAGCTAAGGAGTCCACATCTAATTCATCAAAGAAAAAGTGATGCCATTGTTCATGCATTTAAGATTGAAAGTGATTGTTTTCAAAATCACCACCCAGCAAGTAAGTAGAGAATTCTATGGCAAAACTTAAGTTATTTTTAAGTACTTTCTCATTTATAGACTTCGCTTTTCTCCATGGTTTTTGCATATAATTTGCATATTGATACCTTTTGATCCCAGATATTGATGTTCTATTTACATTAGGCTCTTCAGCGATTTCAGGGACTGAGGAGCTCAATGAGTTGGGTTCTGTCTGTTGGGGTTCTGATGCTCGGTGGCAGCTAAAAGGAAAAAGAAAGTCAAATTCGAGAAATATGGAAGTATGCAAGAAACATGACAATGTGTACATTTCAGGTGCTAATCTGGACAGCTCTTTCAGAAAGTCAGGACCAATTACGGATGTTAAGTTTGAAAAGTCGTCTGTTATGCTGATGGAACCTCACACAAGAGGACAAACTGATGAGCTGGGAGTTCCCCAGAGGTTAATGCCCTACCGTCAGTCATGTGCTACTGTCAATCTGAAGTACAACGCATCAGAGTTTTATCTTGAAGACTGTAAAGATGATTCTGGTTTGTATGATGTTACTATCGAGGTGGAAAGGCTTTGTCAACCACAACCTGTTCCACCCACTTCCAAAAAGCAAGTTAATTGCTAAATCAATTGTTGGCCACCCACTTAATGTTGACTTGTTGGAAAGTGGTACGGTCATTAAAAAGAGGCCACGTGGAAGGCCACGCACAAAGAATGTCAGTCTGCAGCAGCTGATCCCACAAGTGAATCCACGAAAAAGTAAGAAGCGCGAGGTTTCATTGAGAAAGACCGGGAAGTTGTCTTCACTCACTCATTCGCCAGAACTACAGGGGAAACTGGTGGTCAACATGCTTGCCAAATCAGTCTTAGCAAGCGTCCCACTGAAGGTGGTGTTCAG